GTCCCTCTACAGGAGGAATATTCAAAAATAGTCCAAAACTAGTCTGGGGACGATTTGTTGTTTTTTTTCTAGCTCTTGGGGGGGATTTTTGGCCCATCTTGAGTTTGTCGCCCAAAATCCGCCTGAAGAGGGACAGGCCCGACCCAAGGCTACACGTCTTGCCTGCAGCGCCGGGCGCACCGTTCGGTGCTGCCCCCCCCTCGCCCACGGGCACCGCCACACCCGACGCGGCGCTGCGCTCGCGGCCCTGGGGCCGCGCCGCCCCTGTGCCGGGCCCCGCGGCGGTCGCCTCGGGCACTCCCACCTGTGGAGCAGCGTGCGCCGCCCTGCCGCTCTGGGGCTGTGGAGGACGGTCAGTGGAGAGGGAGCATGTTGCCAAATAATCTCCAGCTGTCTAAGACATGTGTTGCACATGTTTTAGACCTGTGCAAGAAACAGGTTTTTAAGCATTTCCAGGACAGTTCTTCCGACATTTTGAACACCTTCTTGATTCGATGATGGGATTGCTAGGGTGTCCATTGTCGTGGCATCCACAACTCTAGGGCCGACCCCCCCCCCCCTGCTCCGCATGCCGTGAGCCGACTCTCGTCAGCTGCTTGAGGGTGCCGTGGCGCCAGCCCCCGGTGAGCTGGTTCTGCCGCTCGCCCCCAGCGCCCTCCGCGGCCTCCCCCCGCCTCAGCCCCGGCCGCGGGGCTGCCGCCCCGGCCCTGCCCTGCCCCGCCTCCCTCCAGGAGGAGGCCCTGCCCCCGCCGCTGCATCCCCTGCCCTGCGCAGGTGGGATCGCCGGCCTTCCGCAGGTTTTCGGCCCGGGCCTTCGCCCGCCGCCTCCTCCTTCCCGCCTGCTCCGCCCCTCGGTGGTGGCTTCTGCTGCTCCCCCCGCTTGTCTGGTCCTCTGATCGGGCCTTCCTCTGGGGTCCCTGGGGTGCCTCGACGGCCACCCACGGCCACGGCACCCGCCACCCCTCTTTGCCTGGCATTCCGGCCTGCCCATCTGGCGTGCTTGCCCCACAGGCGTCACGGGTCCGCGGGTTCCGCCCCTGCTGCCTGCACTTCTGCTTGTGCTCTTTCCGCCCCCTCGACCTGGGGTTTTCCTGGGCCGTCCCCCTCGGGCTGCCTCGCAGGTCCTCCGAATCTCGGCACCCTGGCTTGCCCTCGCCTCCCACGCTCCGCCCCGCTGGGTCTGCTTCCCCAGTGCCCCCGGCCCCTCACCTGAGGTGGTCCCCCTCTGGCTGCCGCCCTCGGTCGCCTGGAGGGCACCATGATCTTGGCACCTCGGTCGCCTTGCAGCGCTGCCCCACCTCCAGCTGGCGCTGGACCTGCCCTCCCCCACCCCTCGGCTCTGCCTGGCCGCCCGCTGGCTGCCATCTCCCAGCTGCCGCCTCGCCGCCGCCGCTGAACCCCCGCCCCGGCGCCCGCCCTGCCGCGGCCTGGCCCTGCTCTCCCTCCCGCCCGCGCTGGGCCTCCTCTCTCTCCTCCCGCGTGCCCTGCGGCTTAATTCGCGTTTTGTGTGACCCACTAGTGCCACTTCGCTGGAGCAGTCCCCCTGGCCAGCTGCCGGCGCAAGTGTGTGTGTGTGTGTGTGTGTCTCCACGCGTCCGAGGCCAGCGCCTCCGATGCCGACGCAGCCGCCGCTGCGGCCGCCATCCCTGCCCCCTCGCGTCCCTCGAGCGGGCCCTTTTGAACGCATCGCGCTCATCCCGCGCAGGGATCTCCCTCACAAGTTCGGTAGCAAATCGCGGGAACCATGAAGTACCTTTTCAATTCTGTCTTTAGCGTTGATTCGCGTCGATTCGCGTCTGGGGGTCGATGAGATAGCGCCGATTTTCAGCCGGTTAGCGCTGATTAGCGTCGATTTGGCGTCGAGTCGCAAGAGCCGACAAGATGGTATGGAAGGCTCCCATGCGTTGCCACCGAACGCAACCAGCTGGTCATGGCCACGCGCGTTTTTGCGGACCTCGCTTTTCGCCAGGCCGAACTCTGGAGGGCGGTCCCCCACAGGTGTAACTCCCATTCCGCCGACTCCAACATGCAACTCCCCGAACGCCTCCGCTCCTTCATCGAGCGTGTCTACGGGTACAAGATGATGTATCCTGCAACCCATGTCCCAGCATCGGGGTTCCCCAGGGGCTAGGTTGCTGAAGCAGCCAGACCCCCCCCCTTCCAACCATTCGCGTCGGTGACATTCGCGCCATGAGGGCTCCGTTGCGTATGGAAGGATTTTCCCATCAATGCTGCCGAGCGTTTCAAACTTGTCCACCAAGCCGACCTACACCTTGTCGAGATGCCGCCCGACGAAAAGCACGCCAGAGCAGCTGCCTTTATGAGGGGTACGCATTTCCCCAGATCTCCCATGCGGGGCGGCTCTTGGTCCCGTGTCCGCCTGACCCCTACCGCGGCGCGTTCCTTTTCTTCTGGCCCCATTGGCGCTTTCCCTCTTGCCTCCTCGTTTGCCCCCCGCGGCAGGTCTGCGACGTTGTTCAAGCCCGCCTCGGCTCGGTTCCCCACTCCTGTCGGGAACATTGGTGCGTCGCAGCGCTTTGCTTCCCTGCGCGCCAGGTCCCCCGACTCCGCGCTCGATGACGCTGTCCACAGACCGGGGCGGGTGCGCAGCCGTTCGCGCGGCCCCGTCGGCGCCCCTCCCCGCTCAGGCACGTCAGCTGACCCACACGATCATCTTGCACCCGACACTTCTGCGACCCCCACAGGCGACGCTGCTGGTACTCCCGCTCGCCCTGCCCTCGTGGGGGCCGCCAGGGCCCCGTCCGCCTGGCTGGCGCCCCTCTTGCCCGCCTGCATGTGGCCGACCAGCGCGTCCTGACCGCCGGCCACCCTACTGCGATCCCGGGGCCTGCGCCCCCAGGTCGTCTTCCCCGCCCCTTTCCCCCCCGCCTGCACCACCTGCACGCCCACCTGCCATGCGGCTCCCGCCACCTGCTGCGCCCGCTGTGCCCTCTGAGCCCCTCACCGTCCCGCTCCCCTCCTCCCACGGGTGGCGCGGCCTCTGGCGCCGCTCCACCCGCTGCTGCTCCTCCTCCTCCTCCTCCTCCTCCTCCTCTTCCTCCTCCCCCCTCCCCCTCCCCCTTCTTCTCCTCCTCCTTCTCCTCCTTCTCCTCCTCCTCCTGCTGCTGCTACTGCTCCTCCTCCTCCTCCTGGCGCCACCCTGCCCCAGATATCCCAGGCGTCCCATCGGCATGGGTTGCTCCCGGTTCCGATGGACCCACATCGGGCCCCCTTGACAACGACGCTGCTGCGTACCTGCAGCGGTGCGTGGCTGACCAGATTTCCCCGCAGCGCCAGGGCACCACCGCATCCGATGGATGGGGCGACTGCGTCGGGCTGGAGGTTGTGGACGGTCTCCCGCCTCAGGGGCGGACGGCGTATCTCAGCCACTAACCTACCTTCACCATCGATGTACACGCTTGCTGAATCGGATTACTTCATGACTCCCCTATTCAGTCAGCACGCGCAGACGATTCGCCCCGCCGACGCGGGCCCCGCTCTACGTGGCAACCCTCGAGGCGACGGGGCTGGCCCCTGGAAGCGCCCTGCATCCAGGCGCTCTCCTCTTGGTAGTTCCTGGATCCGCCTTCTCCCTTTTTCCCGTAGACCGTTTGGTTAGTTGTTTTGTTTTCGTGTTTGGACTATCGGCTCATCGGCTCATTCTGGAGCCTCCTCCTCCATCCAATGTGTATATATGTATGTATGTGTATATAGATGTATATAGATGTAAACGTGTGTGTATATATACACATGTGTGTGTATGTGTGTGTGTGTGTGTGTGTGTGTGTGTGTGTGTGTGTGTGTGTGTGTGTGTGTGTGTTTGAGGACATTCATAGATGCTCCAATGTCATGCTCGGCAATCCTAAGGCATGTCTATGTACTTGCTTGTCCAACAAAGCGTCCATATATGTTGCCAAAATCGTCCCACCTGGGCGTGAAATGTAATGACCAGTCCTTCTCCCTCCTCCCCTCCTTCCTTTCTCCTCCGTCCGTGTGGATCTTGGCAGGCACCGTCGGCGCCCGTCACAGGAGTGGGCGAGGAATCTTTGGCGCAGCATTTGTTTTCTGGTAGGCCTCGCTGCGTGGTAGCACGTGCTAACTATGCGCCTATTCGCGACGTTTAGGACCGCACTTGCCGTGACCAGAAGTAGGCGGCAGGCACAGCAAAATTCGCTAGCGCAAGTATAGGTCCATCCTTCCTTGTGCTTCTTCCCCGCTCGCCCGAGTGTTGGTAAGCCTGTTCGGTCCTTCTGCAAATCTTGCACTTTCCTTAAGTTTGTACAGGACGTGGATATTCAGTTCACAAAGCCCCGATCAAGGCTGATAAGGTGCGCTGGCAGTCTAGACGCTCTGCGTAACCCCACCAGCCCATCCAGAAACGCTGCCCAGGCGAGTTTCCCTCATTAGGGAGGTGAAGGATTCTGCAATAGAGTAAAGGGCTGTGGAGCCGTCATACCCCCAGCGCCGCCTATGCCAAGAAATAACACAAAGTGCTTGCGCCCCTCCGAACATTATATCATATTTTGCCGCAAAGTGCTCATTGCATGTTTTTTTGTTGACAGGTATGGTGAGGGGGATGCTCTTTATCTCTGGGTTTGTCGCCAGCCAGTTGGGGGAGGGGGTGTATATCAATGAGGATCAGTGATGAAACCCTCTTCGAATGGGAAGAAGGGGGTTGGAAAAGGAAACGCGGTAAACCACTCACGCCCGAAAGGGATGGTGGGATTTGTGCTCTGCATCTCCTATCTGCCCCAGCTCCTACGGTAGGTTCGTGTTGTGTCGACTCGGCGGCGACCCTGGTGCGGGCCTTCAAGGTCGCACGCTACCAGTGGCCCAGCATCGGCCGACATCCAGTGTTCTGCGGTATTGGAGTGCAGCGACCGTGCAGTGTGGAACAGTCCACGCGGTGTTCAAATCCAGCGCTGGCGTCGTCACGACACGAACACGTCGCGCTCCGGTGCGCATCCTCTGGTATGCCGCGCCGACCGAGGGCATCACCCATGGACGACACCTTCATGGGCGCCTCCATTCGCCGATCCAGGGCAGAGTTCGTGGACGACGCCCGCGCGGGGGCCTCCGACGGCTTCCGCAGCACAGCCCGGCTGCCGTGCCCAGCTCCTTTGGAGATGGACCGCCAGAACCAAGGCTCGCTCCCAGCCTAGATGGGGGAGAAGGTGGTGGTGGACGAGGAGTGGGAGGAGGAGGAGGAGGAGGAGGAGGAGGAGGAGGAGGAGGAAGAGGAGGAATAGGATGAGGAGCGAGAAGAAAGGGAATCTGAGGGTGAAGAGGAAGAGGAAGAGGAAAAGGAGTAGGGTCATGAGGATGAGGAGGGAGGAGGAGGAGGAGGAGGACCAGTGTAAGCCCAATACACATCAACGATGTTGCAATAAACACTCCCTCCACACTCCCCCATCATGGAGAAGACCTGATAAAGACACTGATTTTGAGGTAGACCCAAGAGAACTGTCAACCTCTTATTAGAAAGTTGGATATTAGGAGGTTAGGAGACATCGCCCTCACCTCGCTCTATAAGTCTCATCTCCTGTCATAGTTTCTCTCTCTCTCTCTCTCTCTCTCTCTTTCCATGTTTTTTTCCAACCAACCTGTGGTGTTTGGCCTCCCTCCTCCCATCTTTGCCTCTGCCCTGCGCACCAGTCACCCATGTCGTCACAACCCTCGCACGTTTCGTGGCCCCATAGGGAGCTCCAACGAAGGCCCCAGTGACTGCGCTCGCATGCGCCCGCCCCACCCATTTCGGCACACCCCTCACACGTGTGGTGGCCCCACAGGGAGCTCCACCGAAGGCCGCAGTGGCTGCGCCGAAAGCCGCAGTGCCTGCGCTGCACGATGACGATGATGGAGGGGAGGAGGATGTTGAAGAGGAAACATACGAGGTGGAGAGGATGGACGATGAGAGCAAAGATGGTGGCACGATGAAGGTGGGAAGGATGACGAGGAGGAGGGGTACGAGGGGAAAACATGGCAGGGTTTCAGGAGGCTCCTGGTGGCTCCTATGGGGTTAGGGAGGGGATGGAAATGATGAGTGAGTGTGTCCTCAGCACTTGCACGCTGTCCGGCGGATGTGCGCAAAAACCCGTTCAGGCAGTCGCAGTCAGAACTGGGCGAACCTCTGCGCTGGCGGATCGGGGCAGGGGGAGGAGGAAGGGGGGCAGGAGGACGAAGGAGCGGAGCAACAAAGAGGAGGACGCGGGACGGGGTGAGGTAGGGGGGAGGGAGGAAGAGCCCGGCGACGACCACGACAACGATTGACGATCACGTTGCCGGTGATCACAGCGACGACGACGCCGTGCCCAGCGCCCTCCTCCTCCTCCGCCTCCTCCTCCTTCTCCTCCTCCTCCCTTTCCTCCTCCTCCTCCTCCCTTTCCTCCTCCTCCTCCTCCTCCTCCTCCTCCTCCTCCTCCTCCTCCTCCTCCTCCTCCTCCTCCTCCTCCTCCTCCCCTCCTCCTCCTCCTCCTCCTCCTCCTCCTCTCTCCTCCTCTCCTCCTCCTCCTCCTCCTCCTCCTCCTCCTCCTCCTCCTCCTCCTCCTCCTCCTCCTCCTCTCCTCCTCCTCCTCCTCCTCCTCCTCCTCCTCTCCTCCTCCTCCTCCTCCTCCTCCTCCTCCTCCTCCTCCTCCTCCTCCTCCTCCTCCTCTCCTCCTCCTCCCCCCCGCCCCTCCCCTCGCAGATGCATCCCGCGGCGACAGCTCCGTCCTGGAGCGCTGCCGCGAGGCCGCGCTCGCGGAGGCCCTGCAGCGGCGGGGGGGGGCTCTGAGGCCGCAGGGACGGGGAGGTTCCGCTCACCTCCTCGCTCTCTCTCGCCCCTCCACGCTTCGGCCTGGGGAAGTGAGAAGGAGAAAGCCTTTTCAGAAGGCGGCGGGGCTTCTCAGAAGCCATCGCGCCTTCCGAACAGTTTTTTTTGCGCCTTCCGGGAAGGCTCAGAAGGCCGGGGGGACCTCCGAGCCTCCCAAGAAGGCCCGCCCCCTCTCCTTCCGCCCCTCGCTCGCCGCCGACTGGAGGGTACGGCGCTGCAAGGTGCAGCGCCGGCCTTCGTGCCTTTCGTTCGGGGTTGCGGATCCGCTCTGCGCTCCCTCTTACTGTCACCCGGCTCGCGACGTGCCCGCGGCACGCGCGCGAGCCAACGGACCAGGCGGCCTGGCCCGGGGATCTTTTGCTCGCAGAAGCCCTCCTCTCGGCGGCACGCCAACATACTAATCATACGTGCGCGTCGCCCCCGCGGCACCGCCTGTACTCTGAGCCCTCCGGCCGCCTGAGGCCCCGCCCGCCCGCGCCCTGTCTCCCCAATTGGTGCTTTGCGCGCCCCGCCTAGCTCTTAACCGGAAGAGGCCCGCTCTCGACCCGCAGACCAAAAAAGTGCGTCGCCCCCCAGGGGCGACGCGCGCACCGAGAAATCTTATAGTACATGCGTCGTGGCGGGTGCTTTCTGGCCACACCGCTCGGGAAACGATGTACTACAAGATGGGTATACTACATGCTCGGGTCGGCCGCGCGCCTCCAGGGAGGACATATATAGTATTAGTATGTCCCTGTGCGCCCCATCCTCGCTTCCTCTCCCTCTCCACTCGCTTCTCGACGCCGAACTTCAAGGCACAGCGCACCAGCCTGCGGGGGTCTGGGCGGCTCTCTTGGACCGGCGAGGGGCCCCCCTCGCCTGGGGCCCGGTGTCTGCCGATCGTGCCGCCGTGCCCTCCCCGGAGGAACCAGAACAACGAGACGAGGCGAGCCGCGCCCTGACGTCGCATCGGCAACAATGGAAGCATAACGTAAGCACCTGCGTGGTTTCGTGTATAGCGATCCTTGTTTGTTTCTTGTTTTGCCGATCGGAGCGGGCCCTCGCACTCCTCCCCTTCCACTCCCCCTCCATGGAGTAGATCTTGGCTGTTTTTGGCACCTGTGTCGAGCAGTTGGAGTTTTCCCTCATAGGAACCACTGCTGCAAGCAGTTGCACTAAGCAGAGGTCCGGAGCCAGACCCCCCCCCTTCCCCCCTTCCGCCCAATGTCGAAATGCCGAATAAAAAACACTCACATAGAAAAGAGATCAGGAATACGCTGAGCAACAGCAGTGCCTCGGGTGACACGCGCGCGGAACTTTGCCCCGTCGCTGTGCGAGAGTAGGCTGCGCTGCTCAAGGAGGGGGTGGGGGAGAAACGACGAGGAGGGAGAGGGTGGGTGAGGGAGGCATGAGGGGGCGTCTGAAATGGATTACACTTCAAAGCAGTATGATGAAACTTCTGCTTGCCACTGCTCTTGAGATCCACGCAGTAGGTTTTGTAATACGTCCGGGTCGTTCCCCGCGACAGCCAAGGCTTCGGCTTGCGTGTATGTATTCCACTTAACACGCGGCCTTCGCTGGCGCCTCGGGGTGCCCCAGTTCCGAGGCATTCTTGACTTATCCACCCCGCGCTCGGAAACCATTGCTTTTGGCAAGCTGCTGGGCTTCTATCTGGCCACCTTACCACATACGTTTAACAGTTTCTGTAGAGCAGATGTCGAGAGTGGGCAAGGGTGCGCTGCTGTACGCGCATCAGCAATGCTAACGTGCGACAAGAACGATGGGACAATCCTGAAAACCTTGTGCGTGCTTCTCGCCTGGAAACTGTTATAAGTGGCCTCGAGGAGCATACATGTCTCGAGGCCGTACCGTTGTTTTGAATGTGCACAACGCCTGCACGACGCGCACCTTGTGCTGCCGACTCACATTTGCGTGGTCCCCATCATATTTTGCATCGTGCCCCAGTCGCTGCCCCAAGGCGTCGTGTGAGTTCAGTGCGGCGCCTGCCGTCCGCAGGGAGGCCAGCCTCCGAACTATATTGCATGGTCTTCACATTTGACTGCTTCTCCGTCTGGCCGCCTGGGCCCGCCTTCCCGACCCTCCCGCTTGCGTCTGCGCGCCCGACTTGCCCGTCTGGTTCTGTCACGTGGTTTCTGCTCCTGGCCCCTCGTGCACATTTCTCTAGCGCTCCACCCTTCTCCCTCCCCCTTCCATCCGTCCTCTCTTCCCTTGCTTAAGGGGCTGCGCTAAATGCACGTGGCAGGTCAGGAAGATGTACCCCCAAGGGGGTACCATCGAAGACGTAGAGGGCGGTTACTGAGGGTTCGGGGTATACGTGTTGAGTGGAATGCGAGCAGATCGGAGCGACCAGCCTTAACATGATGATTGTTGTTGTTGTTGTTGTTGTTGTTGTTGTTGTTGTTGTGGTGGGTGTTGATGTTGTCGTTGTTGTGGTTGTTGATGTTGTCGTTGTTGCGGTTGTTGTTGTGGTTGCTGTTGTTGCTGTTGTTGCTGCTACTGTTGTTGTTGTGGTTGTTGTTGTTGGGTTGTTGTCGTTGTTGTTGCTGTTTGGTTGTTGTTGTTGATGCTGTTGTTGTGGTGGTTTCTGTTGTTGCTGTTGTTGCTATTGTTGTTGGTTTTGGTGTGGTTGTTGTGGTTGTTGAGAGTAATGGTTTCGATTTTGATTGTGATTTTGATTTCGATGTTGATGTTGATATTGCTGTTGATGCTGATGATGGAGATGATGATGTTTACGATGATGCTGACGATGATGCTGCTGATGATGCTGCTGCTGACGATGATTGTGATGATGATGATGAGGTTGATGATGATGATGATGCTGATGATGATGATCATGATGCTGATTATGCTGATGCTGCTGATGATGCTGATGATGATGACTATGATGATGATGATGATGATCATGATGCTGATTATGCTGATGCTGCTGATGATGATGATGCTGATGATGATGATGATGCTGATGCTGCTGATGATGATGATGATGATGAGGATGAGGATGATGATGAGGATGATGATGATGATGCTTATGCTGATGATGATGATGATGATGATGATGCTGCTGATGATGATGATGATGCTGCTGATGATGATGATGATGCTGATGCTGATGCTGATGCTGATGATGATGATGATGATGACGATGATGATGATGATGATGATGATCATGATGATGATGCTGATGATGATGATGATGGTGATGATGATGATGATGATGATGATGATGATGATGATGATGATGCTGATGCTGATGCTGATGCTGATGATGATGATGATGATGATGATGATGATGATGATGATGATGATGATGATGATGATGATGATGATGATGATGATGATGATGATGATGATGATGATGATGATGATGATGATGATGATGATGATGATGATGATGATGATGATGATGATGATGATGATGATGATGAGTCGGCTCCACCCCGCCCCCCAAAGGTCGCCAGGGCCTCCTGGCCCGCGGTGCTGCAGACGGCCGTGCAGGACGGGGCGGGGAGCGCGCGGCCGACTGGGGCGGTGCAGCCCCCACCTCATTAGAGGGGGCGGCGGTCGACGAGTGGCCCGTGCGCGGCAGCTTCCTGCTGCGCGGGGGACGCCTGCCCGAGGGCCCGCCACGCTGAGATCGGGCGGCTCTGCCCCGCCTCGGGCCGGGGGACCCTCACGGGTCGAGCCGGCTCGAGAACCGCCGCAGGTCCAGGGCTCGGGTGGAGTTCTGTCATCATGTTGCTTTTTTTCGTAGCTTTGGGTCTCAGGGCATGAGAGGGGGTCCCCGGAGGTCCAGCGTCTTGGGGAGCCCGTGCGCTGACGCTTCCCTCCCAGGCGTGCTTGCGTCGTGTAAAAAGGACGACGGGAGTTTTCGGGCCGTCTTCAGCCTCCGTGGGCCCTGGCGGTGCCCCGAGACCGCGAAACGTCGGGCCCGGGGAACAGAATTGGGTCTCGGGGAGATGCGGGGACGTCGGGGGATCGCACACCGAAAGACGTTGGTTCCTCGCACGCCTGGGGAGCCTCCCTCGCCGCGGGGGGCGCCCGCCCGAGGGCCCCGACGCGGCGGCGGTCCCCGAGCGGCCAGCCTCTCGAGCAGGGCCGCCAGGACGGCGGCCCTCTCTCTTCCTTGTGGGCCCCTCGAGGGCCGGCTGCGGGCCCTCGAGGGGGGTGCGGCCCCGAAGGACGGCTCGGGGCTCCTGGGGTCATGCCTCGGGTGCTGCCTGAAGTGCCCCTGGCCCGAGGTGCCCCCAGGAATTCCGAGGAGGCCCCCACGGCCTCCGGAGCACCCCTCACGACGAGGCCCAGAGGGCCCCAGGGGCTCCAAAGTGGAGCGAAACGCTGGGGGCACACCGGGCCAAGGGCACCTTGACCAATCTCTGAATGCAGTGGTCTGAAGCCGGCTGACCTGGAGCGGCCTGCGCCCCATCGGACAGCCGCGCTCGCTGGAGGCCGAGCGAGCCACGCGGTTGCAGGAGCCTGCGCCGACGTCATCGCTACGTGAGCCCGCCGCAGGGAGTGAGCCCTTTGGGGGCCCGAGTTGCTGCGGCCCCGCGCCCTCTATGGAAGTCGGTGGTGCGCCGGCGACGCGTGCGCGCTGGCTCCCCAGACAAGCGAGGTCTTGATTTTGTCAGGAGGGAAAGAAACACACAGACACAATTAATCGTCGACTCCCCAGGAAATATGGGAAAATATGGGAAGTGGGGGGGAAGACAGAAACCCAGAAAATATGGGAAAATATGGGGAATCTTTTTATTTGTGTGTATGTATTTGTGTGTCCCAGGGCCCCTTCAGAGGTCTTGATCTTGTCCCTGCGCCGCCCCGAGGCTCTGACCCTCGCCCCAGGCCGTCTCCGACGGCCCAGGGGGCCCGGCGAGAGCCCGGGGAGGCGGCAGGCGGCCCGGAGCCTCCCATCTGCGATCGCTCCGCGGCGCGAGCCCGTCGGGGGCCCTGCCCGTAAGCGTCGGGCCTGGCCCTCTGCGGGGGGCAATAGTGAAAACATCGTCCGGGGACCATCTTTGGAGTATTCTTGGGCCTCTCTGGGTTTTTTTTTTTGAGTTTGTTTTGATTCTTCGTCCAAAAGCCCCCTCTGCAGGGGGGCAGGCCCGACCTGACCCTGCCCGTCCGCAGCCGCTTCGCCGCGAGAGGCGGCCGAGCGCCGGCCGCCCGCGCGGCGCGGGCGCCGCGCGGCGCCTCGGCGGTGGGCCCTCGCGGCCGCGGGGGCGCGCGGGCGCGCGCGGGGGCGCCCCGATGGCCTGCCGCCCGGGCGGCCGGTGACCCTCGCGGGCGCGAGCCCGCCGGGGGGGGGGGGCCCTATGGGCGGCCGCGCGCCGTCGAGCAGCATCCCTCGGCTGCACGGGAGGGGCCGCCCCTGGGCCGGAGGGACCTCGCCTCTGCGGAGGACGAGCCAGTGGAGAGGAGGCATGCTGCCAGATGATGTCCAGGTGTCTGTGGAACATGTGTGAAACGTGTTTCGAGCACGTAAAGCACATGTTTAAAACATGTCTATAATGTTTGTCTGACATTTTAAACACATTTTAGATTCAATGGCAGGACTGTTAGGGTGTCCATTGCCGTGGCATCCACAACCTTACGTGCGCGGCCCTCGGGCTATCACAGAGGCAGGGGACGGAGGAATGACATGAACACAAAAAACTCGGAGGTCCGCGTGGGTTTATCGGATCCCCCCCTCCCTGGCGCGCGGAGCGCGCCAGGGGCGGCGCCCGATGCGCCGCCGGGGGGTCCAGCTGGGGTTTGGGGACGCATCCCAGGGTGGGGTTGGGGGACGCATCCAGCTGGATGCTCACACAGGCCTCGGAACAGAGCAGCGAACACTCGTGCCGCATGGGTCGGTCAGCGCCTCCCCCTTCCCCAGATGTTCGAAGTTGGCGATGGGTCTGATGAGTTACAAGTCGACCTCAGTCTCCTCCGCGCGTGCCAGCTTGGAATTTGGGGGAAAGGGGAGTGTCCATTTAATATTTCCGCATTTACTTCTTCCAGGGATGTTCCAACCTAGTTTAGCCTTGACCACCAGAAAGATTTTCTAGCACCAGGGAAGTACCGAACATGTAGGGTTTCCACGTGCCCTCGCCAGTGTGTCGAGGAGACACCGTTTCGAGGCTTCTCTGGGTGCTCGAGATTGTTTCTGGGACGTGGCCCTCAAGTACGATGGGAACAACATCATTCCAGGAGCCGTGTATCACTAGCCTCGAACTTATCCCTATCCCTAAGATTGACACGCCAAAAGGCGATGACAATCTCAGGGATGCGCCCTCAGAAACGAAGGGAATCCCTGAGATCGGCACCGTGATGAGGCGATGCCCAGCAAAGGGATGGTGATGTGTTCCAGGCTGGCGAGTGCAGGGCGGTTTCCCGACCCTACCCCCTGCCCCCGCCCCGCCTTGGCTCAAGTCGGGCCTGTCCCTCTGCAGGAGGGATGTTCAAAGATAGTTGAAGGATAGTCAGGGGACGAGCTTGTGACTACTTGTGGTCACTTCTGGAGTATTTCTGGAGTAGTTCTGGAGTATTTCTGGAGTATTTCTGGAGTGTTTCTGGAGTAGTTCTGGAGTATTATTTCTCGAGTATCTTTATTTTTCCGCCCAGAGTTCCCAAGCAGAGGGACAGGCCCGACCTGAGCCCGGGCGCGCGCAGCGTGCCGCGGGCGCCTCCGGGCGCCGCGGCCCGCGGGCCGCGCGTCCGGGGGTGACTCCCGGCTGGCGGGTCCGAGCTGGGGGCGTCTTCCTCCTCCTCCTCCTCCCTCCTCCTCCTCCTCCTCCTCCTCCTCCTCCTCCTCCTCCTCCTCCTCCTCCTCCTCCTCCTCCTCCTCCTCCTCAGGAGGAGGGTCCAGGCATGGTGATCAAGGCAGTCTGGGTGACGACTCTTCCTCCCCTTTTGAAGCCATTTTTGAGTCTTCGCGGTTGCCATTTTTGAGTCCAGGCATGGTGGTGAAAGCAGTTTGGTGACGACTCTTCGTCCCCCTTGTGAAGCCACTTTTGAGTCTTCGCGGTTGCCATTTTTTTATGTGTTTCGTCCGAGATCTGGCAGGTGGACATGCCCGACCTGGCCTTAGGGTCGCTCCTCCGTGCAGCCGAACCCCGGGGGCCTCCCGCTGCGCGCGCGTCGGTGTCGACGAGGGAAGGGCCCGAGACATGCTCGCGTCGTGACAAGATGCGCGTTTTCGGTAGCAACTCATGGGGGCCTGGTAGACCCTTACAACATCGTTTTTAGCGTCGATTGACGTCGATTAGCGTCTGGGAGTCGGTGAGCTAGCGCCGATTTTAGCGTCGGTTAGCGTCGATTAGCGTCGTTTTAGCGTCGATTCGCAAGGGCCGACAAGACGGTGTGGGAGGCTCCCAAGAGTTGCCACCGAACACGATCACGGCGCGAGGTTTTTGCTGGCCGCGAGCCCCGTGGGGGAGGTGAGAGGGGCAGGTCTTCTCAGAAGGCGGCGGGGCTTCTCGGGAGCCCTCCGGCCTTCCTGAGAAGCCTTGTGCGCCCTCCCCGAAGACAGGGACGGCTTCTCGGAAGGCCAGAGGGCTTCTGAGAGGTCCCGCCCCCCCCTTGGCGAGGACCGTCGAAAACGACTCGGGAGGAAAAGCTGACCCAAGGGAACGGGTCGGGATTTCTGGGGACCGCATACAGTGGAAACCGATGCCAAGAAACACCCTGCTTGCCTCCAGGGTGCCCTGGGTTTGTTGGTCTGATGGTTTTGCGATGGAAAGCGTAACGTTCCCACACCAAGAACCAATTGACGTCCTGGGGTCTCAGGGTTGTTTTTTTTTGTGGCCGATCTCCTCCTTTATGGAACAAATCAAGACGTCGCCTGTCTGTGTCCCTTCGTGACTCTGTTGCTGGGCGGCTCTGGACTCGCCTTGGGGTGCGCTCTGCCCAGAATTTCGAGAGGAATCCAGCCGCGGCGACGAAGATTCACGGAGTCCTCGTGTCCCGTCTTCAGGCCCTCTTGGGGGTCCGCTTTGGGACGTCTTGGGGCTATCGTGGAGGTTTCTGGGGCCACCCTCGCGCTGTCGGGAGCCCTAGGGGGCGAGAGCGCGAAGATCCGCGCAGACCCTACCCTGGGATCCGACGCTGCGAAAAGCTGTAACGTGGAACAATCACGACCAGAGCCCTGGACCCCATCTTGCGGCACTCTTCGAGCCGCATCGATGTGCATCGGCCCCAGGGCCCGAAGCCGAGCGAAAATGCCCTGTGCGAAAAGACTGCGACGCCCTCGGGCGTCGAGCAGTGGGGGTGCGATACGTGGGGGGGTTGAGGAAGGCGCACCTGCTGTGCCCTGAAAGGGCCCCAGAGGGGCCCCGTGGGGCCCAGAAGGGGCACGAAGGGTGCACGTTCCCCCATGAACTAACGCCCTACGCTCAAGTCGGGCCTGTCCCTCTACAGGGGGAATGTTCAAAAATAGTAAAACAAATAGTCTGGGGAGTTTTTTTTGAGTATTTTTTGACCTTTCTTAGGGTTTTTTTGGAGGGTATTTTTAATTTTTCATCGAAAATCCCCCTGTAGGAGGACGCGCCCGACTTAAAACTGACGCCCTACGCCCAGATCTCAGGGTACGGGGGGTATTTCTTATTTTTCGTCGACAATCCCCCTGTAGGGGGACGCGCCCGACCTAAAGCCGACGCCCTGCGCCCAGATCTCAGGGTGCGAACACCAGCGACTCTGGAGGCAGCGGGGGGAGGTCGGGGCCCACCGCCCGCCGGTCGCAGCGGGAGGGGCCCCCGGCAGCAGCAGCGGCCTGGCAGGGCTGGCGGCCGCGACGAGGGACCCCAGCAGCAGCAGCAGCGGCCTGGCCGACGAGGGGCCGTCGGGGCGGCCCGACCTCGGGAGGGCGCATACGTATGCTGTCGGCCTGGAGCGTGCCCGTGGCCCTATGGTTGGCATCGCCTTAGTTACCTCGGTGCCGATCTCAAGGATTCCCTCAGCCTCTGAGGGCGCATCCCCGAGATGGTCATCGCCCTGGGGCTGGCCGATGTCAGGGACAGGGGTGAGCTCGAGGCTGGTGAGGGTAGTAGTTGGCGTCCTCCCCCTCCCCCGTCCCTCCCCCTCTCCTCCCTTCCCACCCCCCATGCTCTGGACAGTCGAGGGAGAGCAGCGGCATAACCCATAAACTTTCGGAGGTCCGTGCAGATCTCTCGGGTCGGCTCTGGGACCCCCTGGCGGCGCCTCCGCCGTCGCCCCTGGCGCGCTCCGCGCGCCTAGTGAGGGGGGTCGGGCGCAGAGCTCAGACGAACGCGCGGACCTCCAAAGGTTGATGCTTAGGTATGCTAGTCTTGTTCCATATGCTTATGCATGCTAGTCATGCTCCACATGCTTATGCGTGCTAGTCTTGTTCCGTAAACATTCTGGCCCAAGCGGCCCGAGTTACGTGCGGCCCGAAAGCTGCACTCCTCTCTCCTCTTGCACGCGCGCCCCACTGCTGCACATCCTCTTCCGTCTTTGCCGAAGTCAGCACTCGCTTCCGTTTCCACTTCTGAGGATCATGACTTCGAAGTCTCCTCAGAAAGGTGGGCCCCCCCGCGCACACACACATACACCCGCGCTCGGGGCACGCCAGTGTGAGTTGGGAGGGGAAGTGTTCTGCGTCGACGCTGAAGTCAAACTCGAAGTCTATCGCGAAGGCGAAGTCTATCTCGAAGTCTGCCGAAGCCACGAAACCGTCCTGGACGCTTGTTCAGTTCTTGGAATGCAATTTTTCTCGAAGTCTTTCGCGCAAGCGAAGTCTATCTCGAAGGCAGTCGAAGCCGTCGTAGACGCTTGTTCAGTCCCTGTAATGCGGTCTTTCTCGAAGTTTACAGCGAAATCGAAGTTTACCTCGAAGTCAGCCGAAACCATCGTAGACGCTTGTTCAACCCTTGGAATGCGGACTTTCTCGAAATCCTTCGGGAAGTCTAAGTTTATCTCGAAGTCTGTCGAAGCCATGGTAGACGCGTGTTCAGCCCTTGGAATGAAATCCATCTCGAAGTCTATCGCGGAGTCTAAGTCTAGCTCGAAGTCAGTCGAAGCCATCGTAGACGCTTGCTCAATCCTTGGAATGAGGTCTCTCTCGAAGTCTATCGCGAAGTCGAAGTCTATCTCGAAACCTGTCGAAGCCATCGTAGGCGCTTGTTCAGTTCTTGGAATGGGGACGATTTCGAAGTCTATCGCGAAGTCGTGGTGTATCTCGAAGCCTGTCGACACAATTGTAAATGCTTGTTCGGCCCATGGAATGAGGTCATCTCGAAGTCTACCGCGTAGTCGAAGTCTACCTCGAAGTCGGTCGAAACCATCATAGACGCTGGCTCAGCCCTTGCAGCGAGGTCTCTCCCGAAGTCTACCGCGAAGTCGAAGCTTATCTCGATGTCAGTCGAGGCCATTGCAGACGCTTGTTCAGGCCTTGGAATGACTCTCGAAGTCTATCGCGAAGTCGAAGTCTATCTCGAATTCAGTCGAAGCCATCGTAGACGCTTGCTCAGCCCTTGGAGTGAGGTCTCTCTCGAGGTCTATCGCGAAGTCGAAGCTTGTCTCGAAACCAGTCGAAGCCATCGTAGACGCTTGTCCAGCCCTTTGGAATGAGGTCTCTCTCGAAGTCCATCGCGAAGTTGACGTCTACCGCGAAGTCTGTCGAAGCCATCGCGGGCGCTTGTTCAGCCCTTGGAAGGAAACCTATCGGAAGTCCATCGCGAAGCAGAAAGTTTTCTTGGAGCCAGCCGAAGACATCATCGACGCTTGTTCCGCCTTTCGAATGAAGTCTTTCTCGAAGTCCAACGCGAAGGTCAAGGCTATCTCGAAGCCTGTCGAAGCCGTCGTAGACGCTTGTTCAGCCATGGGAAGGAGGTCTCTCTCGAAGTCCGCCGCGGAGTCGAAGTCTATCTCAAAATCTGTCGAAGCCATCGTAGGCGCTTGTTCAGTTCTTGGAATGGAGGCCATTTCGACGTCCATCGCGAAGTCGACGTCTACCGCCAAGTTTGTCGAAGCCACCGTAGACGCTTGCCCAGCCCTTGGGGTGATGTTTTTTTTTTTTGTTTTTGAAGCACTTTTTTCCTCTCCCTTTTTATTCAATTCCATTGTGAAGTCGACGTCTACCTCGAAGCCTGTCGAAGACATCATAGACGCTCGTTCACCCTTCGGAATGCTCTCTCTCTCTCTCTCTCTCTCTTTCTCTCGAAGCCTTATCGCGGACTCGAACTTTATCCCGAAATCAGTCAAAGCCATGGTAGACGCTTGTTCATCCTCTCGGAATGAGGTCTCTCTCAAGGTCCACCGTGACCTCGATGTATATTGCGAGGCAGGCCAAAGACATCGTAGACGCTTGTGCAGCCCTTGGAATATAAGTCTCTCTCGAAAGCTAAAGCGAAACTGACGTCCATCTCGAAGTCAGTCGAAGCCTTCGCGGACGCTGGTTCAGTCCTTGGGGTCGTCTTTCTCGGGGCCCATCGCGAGCTCGAAGTCTATCTCGAAGCCTGCCGAAGCCATAGATACTGGCGCAGCCTTTGGAATATACGTCTCTCCGGGAGTCAATCTCGAAGCCAGTCGAAGCCATCGTGGGCGCTTGTTCAGCCCTTGAAATACAAGTCGATCTCGGGGCCCATCGCGTAGCCGGCGTCTATCCGTAAGTCTGCCGAAGCCATCGTAGACGCTGGTTCAGCCCTTGGAATGAAGTCTTTCTCGAGGTCCATCGCGAAGTCGAAGTTTAGCTCGAAGTCTGTCGAAGCCACCGCAGACGCATGTTCAGCCCTCGGAATAGAGATCTCTCCCGAAGTCTACCCCACAATCGACGTCTATCTCAAAGCCAGTCGAAGCCATCGTAGACTTTGTTCAGTCCTTGGAGGGAGGTCTCTCTCGGAGTCCATCGCGGGCTCGAAGTCTATCTCGAAGTCGGTCGAAGACATCGTAGGTGCTTGTTCAGCCCGTGACACATAAGTCTCTTTCGGAGTCCATCGCAAGCCCGACGTCTATCTGGAAGCCAGTCGAAACCATCGTAGGCGCATGTTGGGCCCTTGGAGTGAGGTGTCTTTCTCGGGGCCCACCGCCAGTTCGAAGACTATCCCGAAGTCTGTCGAAGCGATCGTAGACGCTTGCTCAGCCTTTGGAATATAAGTGTATCTGGAAGTCAATCGCGAAGTCGACGTCTATCTCGAAGTCAGTCGAGGCCATCGTAGACGCTTGCGCAGCCCTTGGGGGGAGGTCTCTCTCTTGGAGCCCCTCGCAAGCTCGAAGTCTATGTCGAAGTCTGCCGAAACCATCGTAAACGCATGCTCCGCCCCTGGAATACAAGTCTCTCTCGAAGTCTATCGCGAGCTCGACGTCTATCTCGAGGCCAGTCGAAAACCATCGTAGTCGCATGTTCAGCCCTTGGAGTGAGGTCCCTCTCTGGGTCCATCGCGAGCTCGATGTCTATGTCCACGTCTGTCGAAGCCTCTCTGGGTCCATCGCGAGCTCGATGTCTATGTCCACGTCTGTCGAAGCCGTCGTGGACGCTGGTTCAGCCCTTGGAGTATAAGTCCCTCCCGAAGTCTATCGCGCATTTGACGTCTATCTCGAAGCCAGCCGAAGCCATCGTAGACGTCGGTTCAGCCCTTGGAGTGAGGTCTCTCCCGGAGTCCATCCCGAGCTCCAAGTCTATCTCGAAGTCTGTCGAAGCCGTCCTAGACGCGTGTTCAGCCCTTGGAAAATATACCTCCCCTCTCGAAGTCTATCGCGAAGGCGTTGTCTGTCTCGAAGCCAGTCGAAACCATCGTAGACGCTGGTGCATCCCTTGGAGTTAGGCCTCTCCCGTTGCCCACCGTGAGCTCGAAGTCTATATCGCAACCAGTCGAAACCATCGTAGACGTATGTTCAGCCCTTGGAAGATAGTCTCTCCCGAACTCCCTATCGCGAGGTCGACGTCTATTTCGAAGTCAGTCGAAGCTATCTTAGACGCTTGTGCAGCCCTTGGGGGGGTCCTTCTCTCGGAGTCCATCGCGGGCTTGGGGTCCATGTCGCAGTCAGTCGAAGCCTTCGTACACGCATGTTCCGCCTTTGGAATATAAGTCTCTCTCAGAGGCTATCGCGAAGTCGACGTCTATCTCGAAGTCAGTCGAAACCATTGTAGACGCTTGGTCAGTCCTTGGAGTCCATCCCGGGCTCGAAGTCTATTTCGAAGTATGTCGGAACCATCGTAGACGCATGTTCTGCCCCGCGATATCGCAGTTCGTGTTTCGAGAGTGTGTGCGGTGGAGGCGGAGAAGGGTGGGGAGAATGACGACGAGTTGGGGGGGGGGAATTGTGTGTGTGTGTGTGTGTGTGTGTGTGTATGTGGTGGGTGGGGGTGGGGGGGGGGAAGAATGCGAACGAGGCGGAAAGGGCTAAGGACTAGGGGCTGAGGGATGGCATGCTTCAGAGGGGGAAGCAGGGAAGATGTGGAGGAGGAGGATGATGCGGAGGAGGAGGCTGAGGAGGAGAGCGAGGAGGAGGAGTGCGATAGCGGAGTGAGAGGGGGGGGATCGTGATGAATATTGGAGATGTTGTGAGGACGATGATGGTCATGTTGCTGCTGATGGTGATGGTCATGGTGATGTTGGTGGTCAGGGTGACGATCACGTTGCATATGACGGCCATTCTGCTGAGGACGGGGATGGGTTTCGACGACGACGGGGAGGAGGACGGGGAAGACGAGGAGCAAGAGGAGGAGGAGGAAGAGGATCATGCAGAGGAGGAGGAGGAGGAGTATGATGAAGATGGTGGTGGTCGTGGTGGTGGTGGTGGTGCTGATGCTGATGCTGGTGCTGATGCTTATGATGATGATGGTGATGATGATGAGGATGACGATGATGCTGACAATGATGATGATGATGCTGATGATGATGATGATGATGACGACGTCGACAACGACGACGATGACGATTACGACGACGGCGTCGATGATGATGACGCTGCTGATGTTGATGATGACTGTGCTGATGATACTGATGTATAATGATGGCGATGAAACTGATGATGATGCTGATGATGGTGGTGGTGATGATGACGACGATGGCGACGGTTACGATGACGACGTCGATGATGCTGCTGCTGCTGCTTATGATTATGATGATGCTAATTATGCTGATGACGATGATGACGATGGCGATGACGACGATGATGATGCGGATTTTGCTGCTGCTGCTGTTGCTGTTGCTGTTTCTGTTGTCGTTGTTGTTGTTGGTTTGGTTTGGTTGTTGAGGTTATGGTTGTTGTTGTTGTTGTTGTGATGGTGATGATGATGATGCTGATGATGATGAAGATGATGATGATGCTGATGATGATGATGACGATGATGGTGGCGGAGATTATGATGATGCTGCTGCTGATCATGATGATGCTGCTTCTCATGATGATGCGGATGAGGATGAGGATGAGGATGATGATGATGATGATGGTGGTAGTGGTGGTGGTGATGATGCTGATTGTGATGATGATGATGATGCTGATGATGATGGTGGTGGTGGTGGTGGTTATGATGCTGCTACTGATGATGATGATGATGATGACGATGATGATGATGCTGATGACGATGATGCTGATGATGATGATGCTGATGCTGATGCTGATGCTGATGATGATGAGGATGATGAGGATACGGATGAGGATGAGGATGATGATGATAATGAGGATGATGTTGGTGGTGCTGATGATGGTGGCGGTGATGATGATGAAGATGGTGGTGGTGGTGATGATGATGATGATGATGATCGTGATGGTGGTGGTGGTGGTGATGGTGATGGTGATAGTGATGGTGATGATGCTGATGATCATGATGCTGATGATGATGATGATGCTGATGCTGCTGATGATGATGATGCTGATGATGATGATGATGATGCTGATGCTGCTGATGATGCTGATGCTGCTGATGATGCTGATGCTGCTGCTGATGATGCTGATGCTGATGATGCTGATGCTGCTGATGATGATGGTCACGATGATGGTGATGATGATGGTGATGATGATGATGATGATGATGCTGATGCTGATGATGCTGATGCTGATGCTGATGCTGATGATGATGCTGATGATGCTGATGATGATGCTGATGATGATGATGATGATGCTGATGCTGATGCTGATGCTGATGAGATGAGGATGAGGATGAGGATGAGGATGAGGATGATGATGATGATGATGACGCTGATGCTGATGATGCTGATGCTGCTGATGATGATGATGATGATGATGCTGATGCTGACGATGATGATGGTGATGATGATGATGATGATGATGATGATGAGGATGAGGATGATGATGATGCTGATGCTGACGATGCTGATGCTGATGATGATGATGAGGATGAGGATGAGGATGAGGATGAGGATGATGATGATGATGATGACGATGATGATGATGATGATGATGATGATGATGATGATGACGTCGACAACGATGAGGATGACGATTACGACGACGACGTCGATGATGATGACGCTGCTGATGTTGATGATGACTGTGCTGATGATACTGATGTATGATGATGGCGTTGAAGCTGATGATGATGCTGATGATGGTGATGGTGATGATGGTGATGATGACGACGATGGTGACGACTACGATGACGACGCCGATGATGATGATGCTGCTGCTGTTGCTTATGATTGTGATGATGCTGATTATGCTGACGACGATGACGATGACGACGATGATGATGCTGATTTTGCTGCTGCTGCTGTTGCTGTTGCCGTTGTTGTTGTTGTTGTTGTTGTTGTTGTTGTTGTTGGTTTGGTTGATGTTGAGGTTATGGTGGTTGTTGTGGTTGTTGTTGTGATGGTGATGATGGTGCTGATGATGATGAAGAAGATGATGATGATGATGATGATGGTGGCGGAGATGGTGATGATTTTGCTGCTGCTGCTCATGAGGATGCTGCTGCTCATGATGATGCGGATGATGATGATGATGATGATGATGATGATGATGATGGTGGTGGTGGTGGTGGTGATGACGATTATGATGATGATGATGATGATGATGATGATGATGATGCTGATGATGATGATGATTGTGATGATGATAATGATGATGAATGTGCTGATGATGATGATGGTGGTGGTGGTGATGATGATGCTACTGATGCTGATGATGATGCTGATGCTGATGATGCTGATGATGATGCTGATGATGATGATGATTATGATGATGATGATGGTGGTGGTGGTGGTGATGATGATGATGATGGTGGTGGTGGTGGTGGTGGTGATGATGATGATGATGGTGGTGGTGGTGGTGGTGATGATGATGATGATGATGATGATGATGATGATGATGATGATGATGATGATGATGATGATGATGATGATGATGATGATGATGACGACCAGCCAGGACGGGCTGGAGCGGGAGGATTCCTCGTCCCCCTCTCCCAGGGCCCTCCCAGGGCCCTCCCAGGGCCCTCTCCCTGGGAGAGCTACGCGGGCACGGCCCGCGCAGCTCTCCCAGGGCCCTCCCAGGGCCGTCCCGGGGCCCTCCGTCGGCCGAGCAGCGGCCCCTGCCGCAGCAGCGGCGGCAGCGCAGCGGAGGGCAGCGCAGCGGAGGGCCGCGGCGCCAGCCAGAGCGGCAGGGGAACCGAGGTGCGGAAGGCGAAGAAGAGCAAGAAGCGCGACTCGAGCAGCGGCAGCAGCAGCAGCTCCACCAGCGAGGTTGCCCAGGAGAAGAGAACGGGCGGGCGCGAGAGGAAGCATGAGGTCACGCTGCCCGCGCGTCCCGACCGCCGCCGCTCTTGGACAAGGCGCGCAGCGAGGCTGTGTCGTGGGGCAGGGGTGGCGTTGCGTGGGTGCGGCGGTGTTTTTTGGTGTCCTTTGTGTGAACCTTTCAGGAGCCCTTCGGGACCTCTGGGGGTCACTGGGGGGCTCTTATGGGGCTACCTGGGGCGTGTTAGGGCCGTCTAAAGGGATACTGCAACCGTTTTGGAGGCCCTCTCGGGGCGTCTTTGGGCGGTCTTGCGTCGCTGGGGGTTGTCCTGGGGTGGTCTTGGATCGTCTTAGGGCCAGTAATATTGTTGCTCTTGCTGTTGTTTTTGTTGTTGTTGTTGCTGCTGCTGTGGGCGTTGTTGTTGTCGCTGTTGTCGTTGTCGTTGTTGTTGTCGTTGTTGTTGTTGCCGCTTCTGCTGCGGTTGTTGTTGTTGTTGTTGTTGCTGTTGCTGTTGCTGTTGCTGTTGTCGTCGTCGTCATCGTTGTTAAACATTATTCCTTCTAAAGAATTATTATTGTTGGGACCCCTGGTGCGCGACCTCTGCGCCGCGCCTAGGCCGCAGCTACATTTTCATCATTTTTTCGCGAAAGCTTCAGAAAAGTGGATGAGCTCCGGATCCGGTTTTTTGTTGACGCTCGTTTTCCCTTGCAAAAAACAATAGAAAATGAAAATTCTTGTTTTTACTTGATCAAATTGCAAGAATCCCTTGCAAAAAATAAGGTAAAGTGGACATTCGTGCGCGCAAGACGAAATCCTTCCAAAACCTTAGGTTTCGTAGCGATTTTAACATAAAAACATCAAAAACCCAATGGTTTTCTCAGAAAAAATTGTCAAAATGTCCTTCCGCGCGCTCTTGCGGATTCCTAGGAAACCCACCAGATTTTAAACATTTCTGTTAAAAGGGCCTTTGCGAGGAACCTTTTCAGGTGCTTCGACCTTCTGCAACAACGGTTGCGAGCCTACGAGGGCCACCATCCCTTGCAAAAAATGACACGAAGTGCACATGCGCGCGGCCGCCGCGCGCGCGTGCCGAAATCCTGCCAAACATAATGTGATTTCAATAATTTCAAGATGCGATGTTCCGAAAACATATGCAAACGCAAGACTTTCTCATCCGAAAAATATCAAAATCCACCCGCGGGCTCTTCATGAATCTTTAAAACCCAAGATGGCCCCAAGAGGCGCTCAAGATGGCCCCAAGAGGCGCCAACGATACCTTCTCTCTTGTGTCCTCCCACATCCCTCAGGAAGTTGCCCTAAAGATGTGACCGACTCCTCTCTCTCCTTCTCTCTGTCTCTCGCTCTTTCTCTGCTTCATATCTATCATACGTAACACATCTACTTGTGTAATCGCCTTCCCAGGAATTTGCCTCAAAAATGTGACCAACTATCTTGGCACTGCGTACCATCTCACGTGTACCGTGTACCACATCTTCTCAGGTTGCCTCACACATGTGACGAATCTCTTTCTATCTCTCTCTCCACTGGCTCTCTGTCTTGCTCTCTCTCTCTCTCTCTCTGTCTCTCTGTACTATGTATGTCATACGCAACAAATGCACCATGCGGGGCACATGCGGGGCCCAAACAAGTGATCAACCTCTGCGGGTGTGTACTCCACGCCAGTGTAGTATCCACGATCGTCCGCGCGCCACGAAGTGAAGTGTCCTGACGTCATAGGGCGGGAAGCTGGGTGTGGGTGGTTCCCGAGAGTCGTGTGGATGTTTGGTAGAGCTTGCATTGCCCCCCCACGAAGTGGGGGTATTGGCTGGCGTCGCATGAAAACCCTGGCACTGGGGAGAACACTGAGCGTTCGGGTAAAATGATTGTTGTTGTTGTTGAATATTATTACTTCTAAAGAAATATTATTGTTGAGACCCCTGGTGCGCGACCCCCCTCCAAAACCTAGGCCGCAGCCTCATTTCCTTCATTTTCTAGCGAAAGCTTCAGAAAAGTGGATTGTCACCGGATCCGGTTGTTTTGTTGTAATCCGTTTTCCCTTGCAAAAAACACTATAAAATGAAAATTCTTGTTCTTACTTGATCAAATTGCAAGAATCCCTTGCAAAAAATAAGGTAAAGTGGACATTCGTGCGCGCAAGACGAAATCCTTCCAAAACCTTAGGTTTCGTAACGATTTTAACATAAAAACATCAAAAACCCAATGGTTTTTTAAGAAAAAATTGTCAAAATGTCCTTCCGCGCGCGCTGTCCGAATCCCACAAAACCAATGGTTTTTCAACATTTATGTTACATGAGCTCGCGCGAGCTACTTTTTCTTGTTCTAACATAATCAAATTTCAATAATCCCTTGCAAAAAATAAGGTAAAGTGGACATTCGCGCGCGCAAGACGAAATCCTTCCAGAACCTTAGGTTTCGTAACGATTTCAACATAAAAACATCAAAAACCCAATGGTTTTTCAAAAAAAAATGTCCAAATTTCATCCCGCGCGCGCTGTCCGACTCCCACAAAACCAATGGTTTTTCAACATTTATGTTACATGAGCTCGCGCGAGCTACTTTTTCTTGTTCTAACATAATCAAATTTCAATACTCCCTTGCAAAAAAAAGTAAAGTGGACATTCGCGCGCGCAAGACCAACAAAAAACACGACGATCTCAGGAACTTGCCCCAAAAATGTGACCAACTCCGCTCTCTCTGTCTCTCTCTCTGTCTGCTCTCTGTCTCTCTCTCTGTCTGTCTGTGTCATGTATTGTATGTCACAATTGCAGGATGCTGGGCACACGCGCGCCCCGAATAAGTGACCAAGTTCTGTGGGTGTGTACCCCACGCCAGTGTAGTAGCCACGGTCGTCCGCACGCCACGAAGTGAAGTGTCCCAACGTCATAGGGCGGGAAGCTGGGTTTGGGTGGTCGCGAAGAGTCGTTTGGATATTTGGTAGAGCTTGAACTGCCCCCCCACGAAGTGGGGGTATTGTCTCGCGTCGCATGAAAACCCTGGCACTGGTGAGAACACTGAGCGTTCGGGTAAAATGATTGTTGTTGTTGTTGTTGTTGTTGTTGTTGTTGTTGTTGTTGTTGAACTCTCATTCTTGAAGAGTAATTATTGTTGATCCCCCCCACCGGTGCACATTTTTTTTTTTTTTCAATTGAAGTGCCCCCCAGGGGCTCGCACCTTGTTTTTCGTCAAGGAAAGTCTTCCTGCTCAAACTGGCCCCCTGGCCCCCGGGTTACAACAACAACAGCTCCCGCCTGAGACTTCTTCACAATTTAGCCAGGACCCCCGCTCCCGCCCGAGACTTCCTCGCATTTTATTCAAGAATCGCGCTCTCGCTTGGGACTTCCTTACGCTTTATTCAGGAATCGCTCCTCCTGCGCTCTGGAGTCGCGCTCTCGCCGGAGACTTGCTTGCAATTTGCCGAAGAATAGCGCCCTTGCGTTGGAATTTCTTGCAATTTACTCCAGCGCCGCGCTCCCGACACCCAGGCACCCAGGAGTCGCGCTCACGCTTAGGACTCCTTCGCAGATTACCTAGGAATCGGGCTCTCGCTGCCCTTCGTGGCCCAGTTGCAGCCCTTCATGGCCCCCTCGCTTTGTTTCGTGGCCCCGTTGCAGCCCTTCGTGGCCCCCTCGCTTTGTTTCGTGGCCCCGTTGCAGCCCCTCGTGGCCTCCTCGTTGCCCTTCGTGGCCCCGTTGCAGCCCTTCGCGGCCCCCTCGCTTTGTTTCGTGGCCCCGTTGCAGCCCTTCGTGGCCCCCTCGCTGCCCTTCGTGGCCCCAGTGCAGCCCTTCGTGGCCCCGTTGCAGCCCTTCGTGGCCCCCTCGCTGCCCTTCGTGGCCCCGTTGCAGCCCTTCGTGGCCCCCTCGCTTTGTTTCGTGGCCCCATATATGTATGCCCTTCGTGGCCCCCGCTCGTTCGCGCCCGTGGTGGCCCCATATGCATGCCCTTCGTGGCCCCGCTGTCGCCCTTCGTGGCCCCCTCGCTGCCCTTCGTGTCCCCGTTGCTGCCCTCAGTGGCCCCGTCCTTACCCTCCGCGGCCCAACATACGTATGCCCTTCGTGGCCCCCGCTCGTTCGCGCCCGTTGTGGCCCCATGTGCATGCCCTTCGTGGCCCCGCTGTCGCCGTTTGTGGCCCCCTCATTGTCCTACGTGGCCCAGGTGCTACCCTCAGTGGCCCCATCGTTGCCTTCTGTGGCCCCGCATTATCTGCCCTTCGTGGCCCACGCTCGTTCGCGCTCTTCGTGGCCCCATACGCATTCCCTTCGTGTCCCCGCTGTCGCCCTTCGTGGCCTACTTCGTGTCCTTCGTGGCTCTGCTGTCGTTCTCTCTCGCTTTCGCTTTCGCTCGTCGTCGTCGTCGCGTCGTCGCCGTCGTCGTCGTCGTCGTCGTCGTCGTCGTCGTCGTCGTCGTCGTGGTCGGTCCCCTGTCCGTCCCTCTTGGGGTCGGGTCGACGGTCCGCGGCCGCCCCGCCGATCAGCGCTGCCGCTGGCCAGGCCGACGGTCCGCGGCCGCCCCGCCGCTTGCCGGGGCCCGGCCTGCAGGGAAGAAAGGTATACCCCCCAAAAGGGGTTCGATCGAAGACGAAAAGGGCGGGCATTGAGGGTTTGGGAAATTCGCGTTATTCGACACTCGAGCAGATAAGGGCGAACAGTCTTAAACAATGATTGTTGTTGTTGTTGTTGTTGTTGTTGTTGTTGTTGTTGTTGTTGTTGTTGTTGTTGTTGTTGTTGTTGTTGTTGTTGTTCTTGTCGTCGTCGTTGTTGCTGGTGCTGCTGCTGCTGCTGCTGTTGTTGTTGCGAACGACGGGTTTCAGGCGCCCCCTGGGGGAGGATGGGGGGGCGCATCGCATCGCATTGAGGGGGGGGGGCGCTGCACCTACGAGATTCCTATGGGATCCCTGGCGTTCCTGTATTCCTGGGGATCCGCTTGGATTCCTGGAGAATCCTGGGCATTCCAAGGGATCCCTACGGGTGTGTGCAGAGTGTTTTGATTTTCTGGGTGTTCTTGAGGATCCCCCAGGATTCTTTTAGGAGTCCAG